TAAGAAATAAAAACAAAAAATAAAATTTAGCAGAAATGCAGAAGATTTTAACATTCCAATCAAGTTGCCACGCTAGATTAACAGACACAGGAGTGACTGGGTAGAGACTTACAGGCGTACCACTTTGAAGTCAGAGGAAAATTTCTTGAGCAGGGAGGTGAGCAAAATTTTTTTCTCTCTGTCAGCTTGACATCCCTTCGGCTGTCCCCGGAATTAGAAAGCTTGCTGGGGATGCTACAGATGATACTTTAGAGTTGGGAATTGATTAGGATTGACCCTTGGCAGCTCCTGTTTGTCTTCCTTAGAAGATAACATAGATCTGGAGGCAAAAAAAAAGAAAGAAAGAAACTGCTGTTTTTAGCAAGGACAGAACAATGGGAGAGCCATTTATGGTCTAGATCAGCCTTTTATGGCCATCCTGTTTTCACTTCCTGCTATTTCAGCTTGCCTGATTTCCTTCCAGAAATCCCTCTATGTCCACTCATCAAGCCCTTTCCTTTGACGGCATTTTCTCATGATGCATTTCACCTGTTAATCCTTTTGTTCTCTCCCAGGCCAATTCTCTTCACTGATGAATGTATTTATTTATTTATTTTAGTAGAACTTTTTGGTTGAAAGACCCCTAAATTTAGAGCATAGATTGTCAAGTCATTATAAATGTTGCTTTATCCAGCTCAGCCACTAAATTATATACTACTTTAAGCATCCTTTTAGGAAGAAGTGAGAAATATTTTAAATTTAGTTTTTATGCATTGAAAGTAATACATAGTATTGTAAGTTATAATGTATACATTGTAAATTATTGGGGGTGGGAGGGAAGGAGAGGGAAAATTTCGGATTAGTTGGGGGTCACATGTTGATTTGGGTGAGAGGAGGGATGGTATGGCAAAAGTCTGTGATCAGCATGATGACATTGGGGATAGGAAGGACACTGAAACATGCACATAAGATATAGACAACAGAGACACATAATAGTATACACACACACACACACACACACACACACGCAAAAAGAAAATAAAAAGTAATACATATATATATATATGAAACCAAATCATTTTACAAAGTTGTTTTTTACAACAGGCCCCCCGCCCCCACTCCTACTCCCCAGAAGCAACACTTTCAAGGCTCTTGGCAGTGTCTTTGGTTTTTATTTCCACCTTTTGAAATAACATGTTTATGTTGCTTCTGTTTGATCTTGCAGTTTTAGATGTTTTCTTTTTAAGTCCCACTTTGGAAGATGGGAATATTTGCTCATTTTCTGTCTTCCCATTATCTCCCTTTTTCCTGCTTTGGTCATGTTGTAAGAAGGGACCATTCCTTGGAGAAGGATATCATGCTTGGTAAAGTGGAGGTTCAATGAGAAAGGGGAAGGCCCTCAACAAGATGGATTGACACAGTGGCTACAACAATGGGCTCAGGTATAGCAAAGATTGTGGGGCTGGCACAGGACTGGGCCCTGTTTCGTTCTGCTGTACATAGAGTCGGTTGCTATGAGTTGGAGACGACTCGATGGCACCTAACAAAAACAACAACAACATTATCTCACATACTTCAGATCTCTTATTTTCCCAATATGATTAGAGCATAATTTTTCTTTTTTTAGGTCAGTATTCCTTATTTACATTTATGCCTCTGTAAACTTAGTATGAAATCCCTGGATGGTACAGATGATTAATGTGCTCAGTTGCTAACCAAAAGATTGAAGGTTCTAGTCCACTTGAGGACATCTTAGAAGAAAGACGTGAGGATCTAATTCAGAAAAATCAGCCATTCAATACTCTGTGGAGTACAGTTCTATTCTGACGCACCAGGGCCACCATGAGTCAGAATCTACTTGACAGCAACTGGTACTGATATTTGAAGATTTGAAGAAGTAGATAAATGAATAGAAGATGGTTTCCTCTCCTTTCTCATGAAAATGTGGACCACATCTAACATGTTCTTATATAGCTAGTAGAAGAGTAAAGAGCTTCATAATTGTACAACACTCAAAATGATGAATTTGAAAATCAGCCGTGGTGCATTAAACAGTTTAAAATTACTGACCAGGTGACATCTCTTAACAGACCAAAGCTATAAGCACAAATCAATAACCAGCTTTCGTGAAAGGAATAAATCTTTAGAATGTAAAATGGTCAAAACAGGATTTGAAGGAATTCACCACCACATGTGGTTCTTTATCCCATTTCTTTGATCTCCGTTTATCTTCATTCCTGCTATTCATTCCGTACTGGTGCTTGCTTATTTCACTTTTATCTGTGCTTTTATTATTCTTTCTCTCCATTCAACTAGTACCCTGTGCATATTAGCATTTACCATGTTGCCCCTCTTTCTTCATTCATCTGGCTCTTCACCACACTATGAGCATCTTGAGAGCAGGAATGCTATCTTTCCTGCATCTCAGATATGGCTTACTATAGAAAAGGCTTTGAAAATACACACTAATGATACTATCCCTTCACAAATGTGTGATTGTGAGGCATTTTGAATTCTTGATATTAAAATGTATGATAACACTTTTCTATGAAAAGCAGAGTAAAGAAAATGTGATTTTATATTTTGTCCAGTTATCACCAGGCTTTGCATGTGCTATTGGCCTAACTACTACTGAGTGTTGGCTCTCAGATTAAAGATCCTTTCCTCTAGGAATCCTATTTTGCAATGTCCCAACAGCACAAATTAGGATGGTTCCATATTTCTGTGACTCTGTAAGTCACCATCATGGCAATGTTTTACTCTAATTGTTCTAATATTTGTTTTAATCTAATTGCTTTTTAATTAGACTCTACCCTCAGTTTAAGGAGCCTTGGTGGTACAGTTAAGTGCTCAGCTGCTAACTGGAAAACTGGTGATTTGAACCCACTCAGTGGCTCTGTGGGAGAAAGACCTGGTGACCTGCTTCTGTAAAGGTTCTAGCCAAGAAAACCCACGGGGACGTTCTCCTCTGTCACAGGAGTCTCTGTGAGGCAGAATAGACTCCGTGGCACTCAGTAACAGCAACATCCTTACTTCTAGAAGAAATAACAACCAGAATGTTTCTTAGTAGTAAGACTTCAACTTGCTTACTTTGGATATGTCCTGAGGAAAAAAACAAGTAGAAAAGGACACCATGTGTGGTAAGATAGAGGGCCAATGAAAATGAGAGAAATACTCAATGAGATGGATTCACACAGCAGCCGCAGCAATGGACTCAAAAATACCAATGATCATGAGGACAGCACAGGACCTGGTAACGTTTCCTTCTGTGACAAGTGGGCTCACAATGAATTGTGAGATGGAGCTGACTCAGTGGCAACTAACAACAGTAATGATACCCAGTTCACTCTATACTTTGTGAAAGCAGGCACTTCAGCAGTCTTGCTTGTTGTAATATCCCTAAGATTGGGGGGTTGCAGAGGATTCCCCACCTAATGTTGTTGTTGTTGTTATGTGCCGTTGAGTTGGACCTGACTCATAGGGACTCCTCCTTGGGTTTCCGAGGCAGTATCACTACAGAAGTAGATTGCCCCATCTTCCTTCCGAGGAGTGGCTGGAGGGTTTGAACTGCCAGCCTTCTGGTTAGCAGTCAAGTCCCTTAGCCACTATCCTACCAGGGAGCTCTGTTAGCATAGTGGCTAAGGCACTTGACTGCTAACCAGAAGGCTGGCAGTTCAAACCCTCCAGGCACTCCTCGGAAGGAAGATGGGGCAATCTACTTCCGTAGTGATACTGCCTCGGACACCCAAGGAGGGGTCGCTATGAGTCCGGTCCGACAGCACATAACAACAATTTCCCCACCTAATACTTCTCCTTATCTCCAGTCTCAACATTTGAGGGCCAAAGGTTAAGTAAAAGAATATTTGAAATAAATCGTCAAGATTAAATGTTACCCACTGAATGCTTGAAGTGCTTTACTGTGATTTTTTCAGGTTATTTCCATGCTGGTGGGATCTTGGACACAATCCTAAGTTAATATACAATGTAAACTTTTATGATGAACCTGGGGAACCCATAAAAGTACCCTAGTATTAATTAAACCATGGCTTTAGCCATTGGTTAATAAAATTATTTCTTCCACTAAAAGTAGAATTGCTTTCTAGGTAATCTTCTATAAAAGTAAAAACAAAACATAAATGGAAATTATAAGTATCCTTGTGGTACACTACTAATTTTCAGACGCAGTTAGGTAGTTGAGCGGTGATAAAGTCTTTTTTAATGAGCACAATATTTCTATGCTTCGTGAAGCTGTTTACTTCTGAATCTTAGCTGAGAAATAATTTTGAAAATACTTCTATTTTATACATGGTATAAATAAAACATGGCATAAGGCCCCACCCTGCAAGAATTTACCATCAATTTCTTACTTTAATAGACTTTAAGAATTGAAGTATAAAACTGGAATTCTAAAACGTAGAGATCACATAATCCAGTAATGTCATGGTGTGTTCCATGGAGCCACCCACTAGTACAGAGACACCACAGGGGCCAGCACTGTGAAGCCAAGCTAGGGATGGTGTAGGAGCATGGGATCTGAGCCCCATTCCTGCTGTACCTGGACAGCTTTACCTTTTCTATTCAGTTCCTCATGAGAGAGTGAGTTTACTGCCTTACAAATACATATGTGAAACAATTCCATTATATTATAGATGAGGACATTTGGAACCCAGAAGGTTTAGGTACAGTTTGTACTGGCTAAGCTGGTTTATGCCAATACTAGTTGCTGTTGAGTTGGTTCTGACTCATGGAGACCCTGTGTGTGTCACACTGGGGCTGTGCTCCATAGGATTTTCAGTGTCTGATTTTTTTGAAAGTAGATTGTCAGGGCTTTCTCCTGAGGAGCCTCTGGGTAGACTCGAACCCCCAACCTTTCTGTTATAGCTGAACACACTAACCATTTATACCACCCAGGGACTCTGAACTGGTTTTGTATGCTGGCTTAAGGCCTGGTTCCCCATGCAATCCTGTTTCTACTATATCATACCGCCTACTTTGACAGTCTGTTCTCTCTTTGCCTTCAGCTTCCAGAGCTAAACTCAGCATGATCAATACCATGTCTAAAATCCGTGGCCAGGAGAAAGGGCCAGGCTACCCCCAAGCAGAAGCCCTCCTCGCAGAGGCCATGCTCAAGTTTGGAAGGGAGCTTGGAGATGACTGCAACTTTGGTAAAAATGTTGTCTTACGTTTTAACTCTTTGTTCCTACCTAGGGGCTTTGGTGCCTGTAAGAAACTCTGTAGGATGTTATTCAAACCATTTAATATTTTGATTCTGAATTTTAAATCATGGGCTCCAAATTTGTTTTTAGAATTGTTTCATCATTTATAGTGTGATCTGCCTTAAGAGTCTTATTTTGTATTGATTTGTTTTCATATTTTTCCTAATGAGATCCTAGTCTTGACAATAGCTTTGGTTAACATGCTCAGATGCCTTGGGTGTGTCTGGTAGTAACCATGTATTGGAGCAAAGGTGAGCAGTCACAGTCAGCAGTTGAGGTTCAACTCCCTGCCCTGTGGGCTTGCTCTTAGATCTCTGTTCTTTTTGTATCTTACCTAATTCCACTGTTCCAAGTGAGACATGGTTTATTTCTTCACCTTGTTTCCTGCAGCACTCAGATACCATACAAAGCACCTTCTGTTCTCAACACCTTGTGATATGGGGTCACAGCAAATGGTTGTCCTTGGCTGTACTCTACTCTCTGTTCCCCATATTTGCCTCTGCTAAATGCATTGTGGCCTTAAGCCATTCCACTGCTGGGGAAATGGGTACCTACAAGAGAAGTCAGGGAGCTCTCTCATTGCTTTTTGAGAAAACAAGATTTTACTTTCTTTACAATAAAGGATCAAACCTTTGTAGGAGGTATTGAGTCTACTGCCCAGTAAGAACTGTTTTACGTAGAAAAGACACTGTTCTCTGGAAGCCATTATATACTCTCTATTGTCTAGGTTGCCTTCAGAAAACAAACAATAAATGCTGGGTTTTCATCTGAAAAGGACCCTCTTATTGCAAATGCATTTCCTCTTTGTTCTTTACTGTGAAAGAGCTTCATTCTCCCCTTCCAGGCCCAGCGCTGGGTGATGTAGGGGAAGCCATGCGGGAACTCTCGGAGGTCAAAGACTCTTTGGACATGGAAGTGAAACAGAACTTCATTGACCCACTTCAGAATCTTCATGACAAAGATCTCAGGGAAATTCAGGTACCTGCAAATTCAGTTCTCTGAGAGATGGGTGCTTTAACTCGTACAGATGCCAGTGCTCTTTTCATTAAAAACAGTTTTGATCTTACCATGTATGTCCGGGCACATGAATTAGAAAACACTCCAGCCAGACACCCTGAGCAAACTGACAGATGCAGCACCTCTCACACCTGTGCCACTCATGCGCATTACATTTCACTTCTCTGAGTTCAGTGTTCACAATGAAAGTTTTTCCAAACGTTTTTCTCCAGAAGGATGATTATCTTTTCTCTGAGAATATACAGTTATATTAATTATTCTAGTTGCTTCGGCTGATTTCATCCCTATAATGCTGAGTGTACCAGTTGTTAGCTTAAATATATAGTTATTCTATTGTTCCAAAGCCATGCATTTTTTATATTTTTATAATGGTTGTTAGGATTGAGGAAGAATACCTAACTATTCTCTTTCTAAAAACATATAACTGTTGAGTTGTTTCTAATAAAGTTCAAATGCCTTTTCCTACTACTAGGTATGTAAATGTTTGCTCATTTATTCATTCAATGTAAACTTATCTGAAGCTTAATTTTCTTGACTGTAAAATGTACTTCTATCATTTTAAATGATGTCTCCTTCATCTCCTTATTCCTATCTTTAATCTCCTTCATCCTTACCACTTATTCAAGATCACATAACTAATAAGTGATAAACTCACTCTAAATCCAAAATACAACTCTAAGTCCAGTGTTCTTCCCTACGTCTAGCAGGAAGTTTATATGTCTTAAAGGAATATTCCTTCCAAAGCAACAAACATTTAGTTTGGGTCAGGGCATGAATTGGAGTCAAGAGATGTGGTGGGAGGGGAGGTTTAGGATATTTCTCTCCCTCCTTTTCTTCTTATTTCTTCACCACTCTCAACTGTGTTTCCATCTCCTCTTCCACTTGATAACACATCCATGAACAAGGAAAATCCATCATTTTCTTCCTCTTCGTAGTGGAAGACTGAAACCCTCAGGAAAAATATAATACTTTGGAAAATTCCTGTCATACCTGGTTACTAGAGGGGTCAGACAGAGGCTGGGTGGAATGAAAGTTGAAGCTCATTAGATAAGAGCTCTTCAGAGGTCCCTTCCAAGTTAGGTTTTGTGGTTGAGTTTCATTATCAATAGGAGACTTAAGCCAAACCCAGGGTTCCTAAAAGCTTCATTATCAGCCACCTGGAGCGTGTGTTAACATATAGATTCTTAGGCCCTGGCCCTACATGTTCTGATTCAGGTGATCAGGAATCCATATATATAT